GCACAGGATGGAGCACAGCGACGGCTCGCCAATGGCTAGGATATATGGGCCAACAAACATGGAGTCCAGAGGAGGCACCATCTGCTTTAATTTCCTCGACGTCTCTGGAAAAGTGGTTGATGAAAGACTCGTGGCAAAGGAGTCTGCGGCGGAGAAAATTTCACTCAGAACGGGGTGCTTCTGTAACCCAGGGGCGGGTGAGACTGCGTTTGGTCTGGAAAAGGCAGCTCTGGTGTCCCTCAGCAAGGTTTACAGCAAGTCGTTGGACACATACATACGGATGATCGCCCCTGTTGGTGCTGTCAGGATCTCGTTTGGCTTCATGTCAGCCGCTGCGGACGTGGACCGTTTCATCAACTTTGCCCAAAGTACTTACCGAGATAGGCTTACGAGCACAGAAGGTCTTCAGCCCCATGAGCATTGTTGACGGAAAAGCTGGTATTTAAGCAAAAAGAAAGGATTCACCCGCTTAACAGCCGAAAGGCTTGGTCTCGCCCCAACCAACGAACCAACGCACCAACAAGTGTGATATGTCCCCCCCCGCAGACTGCGATCTCATGTTTGCCTGCCCCGTCCCGGGCCTTTCCAACGGGCATAACCGCAAAGCCGCAAAATAGACCGCCTGGTCCCAACCAACGAACATGGGGCTTTTGTCAACGCCTGCCCAGCCGAATAGAAGGCTTGAGTGTTCGACGGCGTAACAACCCGTCTGGTCGAAAGCTCCGAGATGTATGCAAGCCACATATGCCGCCAGCCGAATTCTCGAGGCCTTTAATCACTCAAGACCAATAATCCAAGAGTTTTCCGTCACAGTTTCGCATGGTAAAGTTGTGCTCGTCACAGAGGGGCAGTGAGATTGATCACTTCGTTGGTGTGATATCGATTTCAAACAATCCCATCCCACCAGGCGTCACCCTGATTGGACAAACCGTTTTCCTATTTAGGTTTACCCTACGCCCGTTGCGGACATCGTCGGGATCGGCCATGAGAATGCTTAATATAAGTCAAGATGCGTGGAAGTGCAACGGATCTTACAGGATGGGTGACATTGCACATGCGCATAAGCAGCCATATGCCATCTATTCGGAGCATTCTATGCGGGCTGCCTTTAAAATGCAGGCGATTTCCATGGTTGACTGCCTTTTCCCATCCCACTTTCATCCCATTTCTCACGCGTGTCTTGCGCAACCAGAACTATCTTACGCACGATGAATCCCACCCAACCACCTTGGCGGTATGCCATTACTGCCCTGGCCGCGGCTGCGGTATTCCCTTATATGCGGGAGACATGGCTGCAACTAATATCCCGCGTTCTTCTTGCATCTCTAGCAGCGTGGTATTTTGCCGTCGTTGTGTACGCTATCTTCATCTACCCCTACTTTGTGTCGTCTATAAGACACATCCCCGGTCCTAAGGTGAGTGCATTCAGTAAATGCTCCGTGTCGGAGATCTTAAACTCTCATAGGATCACTACTTTCTGCTCGGACAGACTGTGAACCAATTTCTGTCTGGTGATCCTAGGGAGCCCTTCGTCTCTTGGATGAGGAACTGGCCCAAGGAACGTTTTATTCGATACACTAGCTTTGGGAACTTGAATGCAATTCTCGTGACACAGCTAGATGCCTTTAAGGAAATCTTCCAAACCAAAGCAAACGCCTTTGTCAAGCCGGAGTTCAACAAGAGAATGATCACCCCTATCACCGGCGTTGGAATGGTCTTTACAGAAGGAGAGGAGTCAAGGTCACAGAGGAAGCTACTCTCCCGTGAGTACCTATATTTGCGAGATTTACTCCCGATTGTGATCGTATTAGAATCTAACCTTGTGGTCCTGCAGCCCGATTTGCCTTGACGAATATGAAGCAAACCATGCCATTATTTCGCAGCAAAGGAAAGCAGTTTTGCCAATATCTTGACCAATTGGTCGACAGCCAGTCTGATTCTATCAATAGTAAGATGGATACGGGCCTCTCTCCGAGCTTACCACAAGCACCACCGGCTAATTATCAACCTGACAGTTTCTTTTGCGTGGTCCAAAGTAACTCTTGATGTTATTGTCAACTTCGCTCTTGGATTCGACCTCGAGATCACCCTCAAGCCGTCAGAGTTTCACGAGCTTTATCAGCAGGTCTTTGACCCTCCACCATTCGGAATGCTCCTCGTCGCCATGTATGCCTTCTTTCCCGCCATCCGTTCATTCCCTTTGAAGGAAAATTACCGTTTCAAACATGCCAACGACAGAGTACGCGACAAGATACGCGAGATCATCCGGAACAGAGAAGCCGAATTGTCCGAGAAGTCGATCGACACCGTCGAAATCCCTGATCTACTCACCCACATGATTTTGGAATCTCGCGCTCTGGGAGATCCTTGGTCAGAATCTAAGATACTCGAAAACATCCTCAACTTCTTCGCGGCCGGGCACGAGTCCTCTGCCAGCTCCTTGACGTGGTTAACCCAGATGTTCGCGCAGCATCCCGAGGTTCAAGATAAGGCACGGAAGGAGATCATAAACCTGTTGGAACGTACACCGAATCCCAGTTATATGGACCTTCAAAATCTTCCCTACCTAGATAACGTCCTCGAAGAGAACCTGCGACTCTTTGCTCCCGGAATTTCGGCAGCTCGAGAATCGATTCAAGATGTTGAAATCTGTGGGACAGTTTTTCCAAAGGGCACTTCTTTCATGATGATGCCGACCATCATCAACCTGAATCCCACCATTTGGGGGGAAGACGTCAACGAGTTCAAACCTGAGCGATGGGACAATCTGACTGGCACAGCTGCGGACCCACATGCGATGTCGACATTCTTGTATGGACCACGATCCTGCATTGGCAGGGTATTTGCATTGTTGGAGATGAAGATGCTTTTGATCGAAGTTCTTCCAAAATTTCGGTTTGAGATGGCTGTCGATCTCAAGGACATTGTCTTGGTCAACCCGAGCCCCGCTTTACGTGTGCATGAGGGACTGCAGATGCGTGTACATCGAGTTTAGTGCTTGGGAAATGAAACGCAAGACATGGTTTGTGTAGATTTTAGCATGAAGTTGCTTGTGGGAAAGACGGTTTGGTGTTACTTGGTTGGGGATCTTTGGTATCTACTATAAAAGCCGCGTTTTTTACAGTTTATTTCTTGCAAATCGCCACGATTGCTTTCATTGTGACCCCGACACATGTTTGCCCGTTTCTGTTTAGAGACACACTGGCATCCTTTAGGATCAAGGGCACCATCTCCATTGCTTTCGTCTTTTCTTCGTCGGACCAATCCTTGAATACAGCGGGACCAAACATCTGGACGATTGATGACGAGACCTCCTCCAAACTCTCTGCGCCCCAATGCACAACCGTATCCTGAAGGTCAACCTCTTCAAACCCACCAGATCTCAAGACCTCTTCCGTATGAGAGGGTTTGAACCACTCGGGCTTGATAGGCACGCTGAATGGCTCCTCTTCTGGACGTATCTCACGCTGGAGCTTCCACAGGACGGGAAGGTATCCGAGCTCCTCCCAATTGGTGACAACAGCAATACCGCCAGGTTTCAGCGTGCGCCAAATCTCAGATGCGCCCTTCTTGGCGTCATCGAAGAACAAGAATCCGAGGTTGGTGACTGAGAGGGTGAAGGTCTCATCGGGGAACTTCAAACTTTCGCCAGGCATGACACCTGTTCGTACATGGTCGTTGTCCGGAAACCTGGCTTCCACGAGCTCAACCATCTTGGATGCTCCGTCGACCGCGTGGATTACAGGCCCTTTCCCATTGTTGAACTTCTGCATGATAACATCGGTAACAACACCAGTGCCGCATGCGTTGTCAAGAACCACGGAGTCGTTGTTAATATTGAGTAACGGGACGAGCCTCTCAGCGAGCTCTCTCGTGCAGCCACCAGTGCTCTTCTCATAGGACTCGGCTACCGCATTGAAGTGGTCCAAGGGCGTTTTGTTGTCGTCCGCCATATCCGGAAATGAAAACGGCTGGACAAGTCGAAGAAGGCGTGGAAATCGTGGATGAAAATATGCCCAAGCAAAGGACCCCAAGATCATGGATGATGAAGCTGAGGGTTGGCTGTAGGCGAATAAGAACGTCGTCGTCATTATAAGTTGTCGCACGGAACATTTTCGGAGACTTCATGCACGCCGAAGAGGGGCCCGGGGGTGAACCTTGACGGCACACCACCCACGCAGACGCATGTCAGATTTGACGACGTGGCATACCTTGACAAGAACGAAAAAGATTCGTCATATTGTTTGATATTTGTTCTGGGGAAAGATGCCTTTGTGATGGCGGTGGTTTCCTGCCGCTCTTTAGCTCTCGCGGTTCGGCGGGACTCCGCCGACGCCACGAATGCGGGTTCCGCCGCCGGCTTACAACCGTGCACCAAGGCAACGGTGCCGACGCGGACTCTTTCGTCGGGGGTCGGACATCCATTCTTGCGAGCGGATGCACGCGTACTATCAGGAGATGGTCGAGGTGTAAGTATGTTGATCTGAGAGCTCCGCGGGTTGTAGGTCTGTGGCAGTTATTTACTTATATTCAGCGCTTGCTGTTTGAAATTCTCCTAACGACCTATAGGCAAGATGCCTCGTTGATGGTACAGGATAGAAATTAACGTACGGAACATATCCAAATATTTCCATTCAAGTGATTTACTGTTAGAGATTCGTGGGCCGTGATCTAGATAATCGTGGCGCGGAATTCTCTTCTAATCAAAGGATGATCAAGAAACTTTTAATTACGAGGCGGAAACGCGCCCGGCTCGGAACGAATGGCACCATAGTATTAAAAGGATACAAAGGAACTTAACAGCATTTTTGAAAGGTCAAGCTTTTAATTCCTCTTGATCAAATATTGCCTCAAGGCTTTCTTCCACCGGCTACCTCGTCTACCACAGAGCCATCTCATATTCCCTTACTTGTTGACAACATCCTCCTCACATCCATCTTAACAATTCCATCTTAATAATCCACTCAAGTGCGAAGAAAACCAGTCGCTCAAATTCAAAAATGCCGAGCTTTATTGAATTTCTACAGTCTCAGCTCTTCACCGAGGTCCCAGTACCTACGAAGAAGTTTACCGGCCAAACTATCATTGTCACTGGATCCAACACCGGCCTCGGTCTCGAAGCCGCACGGGGCTTCGTCTTGCTTGAAGCGGCTAAAGTCATTCTCGCAGTACGAAGCATACCGAAGGGCAAGGAAGCGGCAGCGCGCCTGGAAGAATCCACGGGGACGAAAGGAGTCGTTGAAGTCTGGGAGCTGGACCTGACCTCTTACGCGAGTGTCCAGACTTTTGCCAAGCAGTCCCGCAGTCTTGAGCGCCTGGATGTCTTGGTCAACAACGCTGGCGTAATGATGTACAACTTCGTGCTAGCAGAGAAGGATGACAGCCTCATCACAGTCAATGCTGTGAGCCCGCTTCTACTCAGCATGTTGCTGTTACCCAAGATGAGGGAAACGTCCTTGAAATACGCAAAGGATACTGTCATCACTTTCGTTGGATCGCTCGGCCATGCCAGGGTCGACTTCATCGAGAGCAAGAGTGAAAATATCTTCAGAGACTTGGCTGTGGAGAAAGCCGCTCGCATGACTGAGAGGTAAGCCGATCCTGCCACGCATGCCGGCGACTTTGACAGACTGAAGGACTTTAGGTACAATATTTCCAAGGTCATTCAGCTTCAGCTTGCTAGAGAGCTCGCGGAAAACCTCAGCAAGTCAGAGAGGTTGGGAAATATTGTCGTTTCAGTGGTAAACCCGGGATTATCTGATACGGACGTCGCCCGAAATCTCGGCTGGGTTCAGGGCAAGATAGTCAAAGGTGTGCTTAGTCTGGTGGGAAGAGCACCAGAGGAAGCTGGCCGAACACTTGTCCTAGCTGCTGAAGGCGGGCCAGAAACGCATGGACAGTACCTTGATGACGGCAAAGTAGGCAGGTACGTGATAAGTGCTCAGATTACCCCGTCAAGAGAATCATTACTCGGTCCTCAACTAACTGCCAGTACACAGACCGTCCGAGTTCATTACGAGTGGTGAAGGAATCAAGGTTCAAAAGCAGCTGTGGAAAGAACTACTTGGGAAGTTGGACGCTATTGCACCCGGTATCGTAGATTCAATATGAATCAGCATAGAGCGCCATTGAACGGTGGTATTGGTTGCCGTACGCAATATTGTATGATATCTGGGTTAGAATAGACGCTAACAAGCAACTATGCCTCATGTTTATCCCAAATGTGCGACAGCGTGTGTGCCGACCGGTGCATGGGAGCCTCCCACCCAAGCATTCCAGTTGTTGATACCTTCTGTGCACTCTTCGGTGATAGGCCGGCCATGAACCTGGGCGACAACGTCTGCTCCTCTGTGAATAGTCACGACGACTTCACCCAGCCTACCGTTGAAGGGTGCGCTGCCGTGGTAGACACCAACGCCGCCCTTCGGTACTCCATCGTCATCCCATGACGCCTCTTGCGGTACACGACCGATGCTCACTGTCACCGAAGCGGGCCCGGTGAGCAGTGCCGAGAACACGACCTTGTCCTCCATGATCTCCGACGGATGATGCAACTCTTGGCCGTGACTCGGTGCGTTGCCTGTGGTACCTCCGCAGTCGCCTGCGTGGCCGGGGTGTATGCGGTACCACGTCACTACTCCCTCCCGGTTGATGGTGGCATGGCCGTTCTTGTACAAGTCGATCAGGAAAGGGAGCAGAAGCCGCCAGCCGTCGTGAGGCATATCTCTGACGTAGTTGAATGGCGCCTTGCCGTACTCGAACGCGCCGAACTGCTTCTCATGGAGAGGTCCGATGTAATGGGACTCGCCAAAGTCGTTCCACGAGATCTGTCATCGTCGTTAGAATAGGTACTACCTTTCGCTGTTCCAAGGATACTCACAATCTGCACATATTCCGGTCTTATTTGAAGAATCTCGTTCCAGCGGTCATTCCACAGATCATCGCCCTTCCAAGCCCAGTTCTTGTTCCAGGTCGGGAGGTTGGTGTAGAACCACGGTGAAACGGCAACCATGTACGGTCTGTTGCCCAAGAAGTGACGGTAGGAAGCATCCAAGCCGGGATCCATCTTACGAGTGTTGCCGTGCGGCCATGCGGCCCAACTGAAGAGACCATCGGTTACACCGGTGTTCACGGCGTTCTCAGCGCCGATTGACGAGAACGAGGGCATGAAGAAACATCCAGTCGCCGCCTTGATGTCATGCCAGTCGGCGGCGTTGCCAGTTCCCTCGAAGGTGGAAACAACTGGTTGCCATCCGCGCTTGAAGTACGCAGGAGAGGGTCCAAACTGGATTGTACGTTAGCAGGTGAGACGATAGCGTTCAATTAAAGTACACTCACTCGATTCAGCAATTCGATGACTCTCTCTTTGGGCCAGGCTCCAGCTCCCTCATAGTCGAACGACAGGAGCAGCTTGAATCCAGTCTGCTCAGCCGCGAAGAAGAACTCGGGAAGCTTCACGATCGCCTCCTCGTGGATACCAAAGTTCACCACGAAGCCATCAATATGCGCCTCTTGAGCCAGGCCGATATCGACCTTGTACTCATCCACGGTGTACTCGCAGGTGTTACTCAACTGTTGCTGTGTCAGCAAGGCCCCTCAAAGTTTCAATCGCAGAAAGTCTGCTCACCATGAAATGCGCAAACACGGCCCGCTCGAACCCCTGGGGCTGCCCCTGCTGATACGGCGGCCGGCTGTCCGTCGGCACCGGAGGCGGTGGCGCCGGTCGGGGCTCGTCGTCGTCGCCGGTGATGGCCGCGATCTCCGCCTCGATCTTTCTCTTCGCCTTGTCGAAAAATGCCTTCATCGTCGCGTGTGCTAGGGAGAGGAGAAGTTGCCCGCGCCGAGCCGTGACGCGCGCTGCGTTTGACCGCTCCAATTAAATTGACACGTGGAATGGCGAAGCCTCAATCTTGGCTACCGGAGAGGGTCGTTTGTAGCCCCATCTCTGCGTAACCGAGCCTTAGCACGCATCCCGACTTATCCGGTCTCTTGGAGGCCTCGATGCCATTCACCATCTCGGAAAATTCGCTGGATAACAATAGAGAAGCTCTTGGTGTTTTCCGCGGGCTTATCTAGTTCGATGTCTCGAAGCTTAGAGACATGGAAGTGTGTGTTCAGGGCGCGAGTCATTAGGGAGGGTGCGCTGAGCCTGTCGTTCGCTGGCTGGCCACATGGATTTTACGTCATTTTTTAGGCTCTGCAACACGGGCGAAGAGAGGGTGCCGAATACTAGAAGGGTGCTGATTCAATTGCTCTAGGCTTGCGTGTGCCCATCGGATAGGTCCCCGATTTGGTTTGAGGAAGATAAGAACATGTGGGCGCGAGATTAGCATGTAAAAACTAGAAATCCGAGAGCGAAACCAAGTGAATAAGGTAAAATAGGCTAAAGGGCATTAGTCTAGGTGAAAGCAACCTTTGTGGGATGGAAGATAGGCGTTCTCTGAACGGGAGGGCACTATCCTAAGAGACAGGGAGAGAGATCTAGGTAGCAACCCCGAAAGAAAAATAAAGGAGGACAGCAAAAAGATGTCCTCGGAGAGGCTCGAACTCTCGACCTTTGGATGTCTCTGCCTCCAGACAGAGTCATATTGAAGTAATATGAGACCAACGCTCTACCGACTGAGCCACGAAGACTTCAGCCACTGTGAGGCTTGGCTGTTTGCAAGGTGGAGTTGACTAAGCGGCCAGCGGACCGGAAAGCTCTGTGCTCATTCCCGGCATCCCACGGGAATTGGACCTGGCGTTTCCCGTGGTGTTTCGCGTTGTACACCATCACGAGCTCTAGGAGCCTCGGTATATTGGATGCTGTCGCTCTGCAATTCGCACTCGTTCTCATCTTCACACGCGAGTGAAATTTTTATGACTCAAAGGTGAGTGCATTTATAATTACGTTCATTATCTGTATGTTCGTAATCATTTCGTCATAGGGGTATTTCAAGCTTGCGGGAATCTCGTAACGTCGGCCGGTGCCGACGACATCACAACCACCGTCGTCGTGACAGTTCCGTCTGGCCCTTGGTCCTTCACTATCCGGAACTTCTCATCATCCGTCACTGCCGACGGGTTCGTGTCTGGCGTCCATGTGTGTACGCTTCTTGTAACATTGATCTCAAATTCTCGCTCGACCATGATCATCTCTGGGATCTGAATCTCCGTGTCCCAGTCTCTTGCTGCCTCCGGATCGTGGCTGATGCTCCATAGCTTCTTGCGTGGAGTGAAGGATGTTGGTGATGTCGGGGCGTGAGAGGAAATGGTACTTGCGTCGCTCGGATGCGGCAAGAGATGGTCGATAAGAGGCTGCATCGCTGGGATGCACACAGCGATGATGACCACGTCGGCCTCGAGACTTGTCCAGATGACCAGGTCAGCGGAGTCATCTGTGAAAGAGCGTCAGCGAAATCATTATTGAACAATTGACATTAGTGTCGCTCACAGGTAAAATCAGGGCTACCTAATGACTTCAATCTTGTGCATTTAAATATGGCAGTTATCAAGGCACTGAAAAGAACGTGGTTAGCAAACTAAATATTTATCGCAGCCTCGTTCAAAATATCACTTACACAGCGCCCAGCACTATCGATATCAATACTCCTAACAGTTTCCTTCTCGCGAAATGAAGCTTGCGTATCGAGAAAGCCACATAAACTGCGAGATATGCATTGGTTGCCGCAGATATCGCTGAGAGGCCGCCAGGTTAGATGTGTCTCCATGTGAGATAAGCTTCGACCTTACCGCTAGTTGATATTGAGTATTCCACGGCCATATCTGGTCCTAAGCAAGCTTTCGTCATGAACGACATCTCAGCTTGAGATGGTGAACATTGCGTATATAATCCCAGAACGTTTCCCAGCAGGCCTAGTGAGCAAAATGCAACGAGAGCCCACAAGAATAAGCGTTGTCCCCTCTTAGGTTGAAGGAGTCGATTCATGAGAGCGACCACGGCGATTTTCGGCAGTATCAGAGCAAAAATGCCGAAGGAGAAAGCCATGACGGTCCAGTGCAAAATCGCCTCCTTCTGATGGTCGCTCAGCGATGCGACGTGCCTCCCGTGGCCAATCGCGACGGCCTTTAATGTCGTCGCTGTCGATGTCCATCCCGATATCTGTGATGCTCAGCCAAAATTGTCCGATAACACGAAGACGAGCGTTCATACCACCGCGGCCAGAAGAATTCCGTCGTCAAAGTGCACTTTCTTTTGAATCCATCCCCTCACGAACAACCGCGACAGAGCAAACATCGTCGAGATCGCCGTCGCGGGCACGACGGACGCGACAATCACGCCGCCTATACTGTGCGTGTCGACATCCTCGGCCGAATCGGCGTAATCACGCGGCGGTAGCGGGAGCGGAGGTATCGAGGCACTGGTCAATGCTTTGTAAAGCAGGTGCATCATGCGTGCGGACGCAGAAGAACGATCATTGAAGATGTTGTAACATGGCCCGATGTGGTCGATGGCGGGTTCGGTTTGTGTTTGGCGGCTTTTCGTTACGTGCGAAGAGAGATACAACGTCGGAGATGAGGAGACGGCGGCCATAAGCAGAAGATGAGGGGGAAGGACGACCATTATCCTCTTGGATTACGCCACTCAGTGCGGAGGGCAAAATGACAAGATGAAACCTCAAAACTTTGTTCTAGAAGGGCTCGAGTGTCGAGGTCACCGAGGTTGTGGACGCTAGAGGCTTAGCGAGAGTCAGAGAGTGAGTCTATTCCTCTCCATCTGATTTCCTATTTGGCTCAAAGGAAACCTTGTCTGCGGTGCAGCTGATTTGCGTGCCAAGGGTATGGTTCCCTCATCACGCTCTCGACGACCGGGGCATCTGAGCCTGTGAAGGGAAGTAAAGGTCTGGGTCGTGGACGAAAACGGCATTTCCACGTACGATTTGCTCATTCGGGTAGTCTTGTCCCAGTTATCCGGGACTGATCTTCAGCACTAGAATCGGTTCCAGACGCCACAGGGGAGATGAAAGGAAGCGAACACTTCACTGAGGCTATTTCGTAATTGTAAGTCTGTCAACACGGAGCGGTGTTTCCTTCCGACCTAGTGCTAGCAATATGTCCGGTCGAGCCGGTCGAACCGGTCCTGCGACATCGCGTTAAGCCGGTAGAAGCGAGAACGTCGGTCTCCGAAACGGTCTTCAATGATTACTATGCAGGGCTAGCGAGGATCTCGTTGAAGAACCAGAAAGCCTCGCATTGTTCGACAGGCGACTTTTGCAACTAGTAATTCCAGCGAGATGCGGGCGCATGGGAGGCTTGACAGCCGTCCTTCCGGTTCTAAGGATCTAATTTGAAGCCACGAATCCTACTTCTCGACTTCAGAAGGACGTGCTACGGGCGTTGCTACGAGTGATGGCTTTTCCTGCAAGGATATTGATCACTACGCCTTGTCACATGACACCATTCTCAAACCAGCAGCATTCATTGATGACCTGAACACTTCCTAGACGACGAATAGGGTTGAAGCGCACAAATCAGAATAATACCGCGAAGTGTATAAAAAGATGAATTCCTCATACGAGCTATAGAATCTGACTCAAGAAATGCGCTCACCTCTACGCCTTGTAGTCCAGTCGTGTCGACCTGGGTACATTTTTGCAGACCATGTCACCATCCCGCATTCTGCACCTCGTATCTGACTCTTCATTGCTGACTCTGTCAATAAAGGGCTTGTTTTCCTTGTGTGCATTTTACGCAACCGGACAAGCTATTAATAAGGATAGGGGCCACCGATCCGCCCTACACCGTTGGCTGGCTTAGTAGTCTCTGTCCATCGGAGAGAGATCCGCCCGACTCAACTGGTGATCGTCATCCAGGGCTTGTGGCTTTACTATTCGAATTTGTCTTCCACTACCGCCGTCCATAGTTTTCTTTGCATGAAAGCTCTTGCTTATAAACAGTCGATGTGTCCATTCTTCGGGGCAAAAGTCCGACAGAAAACATCAACGGTTTGTTGAACAGCTGATGTCGGCGTACCTCGGCCCACTCCTCCGATGCCGGCCGGGATAGCAGCGGTAGATTAACGGGTCCTCCGAACGCACTAACAATGGCTACTTGCCTGATAAAATGTGTCATCCGAGCCCACAGGAAAGTCCCGATAGTGCTTCCACCACTGTAGGGAGAATCTCTCCAACGTCCCCGCACTTGATAATGGTAGCGTGCCCGCAGGGAGATGGGCGCATTGAGCACTGTTACCCCCCTTATCAGCCAAATTAAACGCTGCTGACACATTCCCCCGGACTCCACGATATCGGATCAGAGGTAACTCGCAGCCGTTGATTCTCCCTCAAAGGCACGCGATATCTGACTTTCTCCACATTGGAGATCTGATCGGGAGACGTTACCTTGCTGCTGGCTGGAACTTTCACCTTGCATTTCACAATGAGCAGTCAGAAGACCAGCACACACACGGCAAAGCGCCCGCGGCTCGGCGAGCGAACGATGTTGGCTTGTATCGGCTGCAAGCAAAAGAAACTAAAGGTTCATCAAACTAAGCTGCCCCCTGTTTCCTGAGGCTCTTCTAACATTCATAGTGCGATGGACAAAGCCCCAAGTGCCAGAACTGCGTCAGAACAGGAAGAGGTATGGCTCTCAAAGGGACCTCATCAGCACATGAATAGGCCCTACTGACAGTCAGGTAGACTGCCTAGTTGAAGATCCAGGGACTGGCTTACACCGCCCGCGCGACTACATGAAGTCCCTCGAGGCCCGTGTAGCTTATCTGGAAGGTCTCTTGCAACAGGTCCGGCCCGAAGTGGCCCTCGACCACTTCGGTCCCAACGAGGGTCACGATGCCGATCATTCAGCCCCGCCCCCTACAGGCTCGACCAGCCAACCTATGCCTATCATGCACATGCCAACCGCTTTCCCAACCCTACCTGAGCAGTCTTCGTTCGAGGACATGGACTTCTCCCGAGCACTGCGTGCACCATCAATAGAAGCTGATGATCACCATGTCGACATGCTATCCTCGGAAGTTGCTTTACTCTGTCTCAGCGCCGCTGGCAGAGAGCCTCACTACTTCGGGCCATCCTCGGCGGTCTCCTTTTCGCGGATTGTGAGCGCTACCATGGGTCTTGCAAGTAGAGGTGGTAGTTCACAGCATAGCCATGCGGGTCGTGCGAAAGGGCCAGGCTCTGAGGTGCCTCGCGAAGTTCCGTTGCGGCTGCCGTCGCCCACCTTGAGAGCCAATCTTTCTCAGGCTTACTTCAACAACATTCATCCTCAATACCCCTTTCTTCACCAGCCGACGTTCCAAATCTGGGAAGAGAGCTGTTTGAAAGCGAGTCTTGAAGGTGATATCAGTAGCGTCAGCGGAGTTTCTTTGTTTTTCGTATTGATGGTGAGCTTTTCGGCAAAACGTCGATTCCTCGTATGCTTACATTGACACTAGATTTATGCGATTGGTTCTCTTGTGCTTGGTCAGAGTCATTACGATGCTGCCGAAGCTTACTATTCGATGGCACTAGACCACATTGCAGCTGTTTTAGATCTCGATAGCTTAGAGTCAATACAGGCTATCCTGTCTTGTGCGGTTTACTCCATCAGGTCACCAGTTGGCGTCAGCTTATGGTTTGTGAATGGTCAGAGTCTCCTCCCCTTTGTTTGAAGCTGACTGGCTGTCACTATAGGAAGGTCTCTGGTATGGCTATCCGCCATTGCATCGAGCTTGGATATCACCGAAGTGCAGAGAAGTATCATAAAAACACGGACGCTCTTACGAAGGAAATGTCCAAGAGATGCTTCTGGGTGGCCTATGATATCGACAGAGTTGTGGCTTTCACCCTTGGCCGGCCAGTTGGTATTCCTGATGACTCTATTGATGTTGAGGTAAGCCATAGACACAGCACCAGTTCAATCGTACGTCACAAGAGGTGTCTGACAAAATCCTGCTCTAGCTTCCACTTGACATGGACGACGAAAACATTACATCGGGAGGTCTAATGGCCAACCCCCGTACAAACCCGACTGGTCCGCCAACACTAATGACGGGTTTCGTTCATGCCATTAAGCTTCGACGATTGTGGACAAAGATTAGCGACAATCTTTATCCACCGTCGATACGGCGCTGCGGAAATCACTGTGGCCAGAGGGCAACCGTCGAAAGCCTTCGCCAAGAGTTAGATGAATGGCGCGTCAACACACCCGACCAACTAGACTACTCGGTGTCTCATCCGCTATCTGTCTTCACGTCAAGATCGTGGTTTCAGCTGGCTTATGATCACTCCATCCTGCTTCTGTATCGACACTACATGATGGCAATGCCGGGTAGTCATACCCCTGCTAACTGCAGTGACTCATCGAATGTAAATGATGTCGAGGCAACTGAGAGGGCTTTAGAAGAGTGTGCGGTTCGTGCGCGAGAGATGTGTCTTCTCTATCGTCGGGTGTACCAAAGTTCTTCCGTTCAGTTCACCTGGGGAAGCCTTCATATTCTGTTTCTCGGTGGACTCACATATCTCTACTGCCTCTGGAGGTCGAAGCGCGTCCGAGACTCTATTCGACAGGCCGATGTTGTGACGACCTGCATGGCGTGTACGACTGTTCTGATCATCATCGCTGAACGGTGGAATTTGGCGACGACTTACCGCGATATCTTCGAGACATTGTCACAACGAACAATCACCATGGTCTGCAACGACGGGCATAAACCAGGACCCACGTCACTACCAGCGATCGGCCCGGGGCCAAGCATGGACAGTCATGTTCCAATGAGTGGCACCAGTCCCTCTGGCATGCAAGACTGGATCAATGACTTAGATCCCATGGCTATACCTCAAGAGTCGGAGTGGTTGGTACAACAGCTTAATCTACTACAAGGGGTGAGAGAGTTCTAGGGAAGAGATTTGAATAAGTTATCCGAGTGATTGTCGCACAATATCACTGTTTCCTCTAGATACCTTCACCCTCAACATGTTCCTGCTCCACCTGTTCCTTCTCTTGAGACATGTGAAGAACTAGGTTGCTCAATCCAGCATCCCGTGCCTCCAAATATTCCTTACGAGCCGCTCTGGCAAGCAGAGGCGCATTGGCTCCCAGCAACATGTCCATATCCTCCAACGGGACATCTTTGGTCTCCGGAACAAACAGGAACGCAAAGATGAACGCAACCACCGTACACGCCCCAAAGAAAAGAAAAGTCCCCCATGTTATCTTGTTGATCATGTGTGGAAGGCTGTACACAACTATGAACTGCGCCAACCACTGTGCGCAAACCGCAATCATCATGCCAAGCGTGCGGACTCGGTTGGGCAGCACCTCAGAGGCGAAGATCCACGGAATGCCGTTCCAGCTGAAGCCGTAAAAAATGGCGTAAATGTAAATCAAAGCCAGTGCAGCGCGGGTACCGGCATCCGCCGGGGCTGTACCTTCGAATGAGCCGGACAACGCGGAATAGCCAGCCAAGTAGAACATGGCCACCATTGCTCCAATGGCTCCAATGAGAAGGGCCGGTCGTCTGCCGAATCTATCGACGAAGAACACCATGAAGACAAGTGTTGTCATCATCTTGACTATGCCGTAAACCCCAGTCGCCAGGAGGCCAACGTCAGTTCCGCTGAAGCCAATTGAACGTAGGATAGTTGGACTGTAGTAGTTGATGTGAGGGGTTGGACTCCTTCGATGATACGGAGAAGTATGCTGCTTGAATTTTTATCCATATTTCATTATTTGATGGTACAGAGGGAGAGAAAGCCTCGTCTTGGACGAATTCTCGCTCTGGCAGGACCCCGCGCCCGAACCCCCTTTAAAGTCCTTCACTATTACCGAATGGTTTGCATCGAGCTTCAAGTACAGCGTCTTGTCTAAACTAGTGCCTAACATGGTGGACAATTCAGCCAAAGAAGCAACAGCCACAAGTCTTCCTTCGCAACGCCTGCTGGGAAAGGTTGTGTTGGTGACTAGCGCAGGTGGCTCAATCGGATTGGAAACCTCTGCACGACTATTGCAGGAGGGTGCAAATCTTGGTCTAGTGAATATTAGCTCAGATGACCTCGAGCGCGCCGTCTCGCAGCTCAAGGTCAACATACCCGGAAAAACGATTGAGAATCGCATATTGACAGTCACGGCCGATGTCACTTCTGAGAAGGCTGTCGAGCAGTATACAACAAAGATTGCCAGTCATTTTCAACGTTTGGATTGCGCATTCCTCAACGCCGGAGTGAGTTATAAATCGACGAGCATCTTCGATACAACCGAAGAAACCTACGATCGAATCATGCAGGTCAATGTCAAGTCTGGTATGTATCCTTTATCTGCACAACCTGGTGATATTTGCACCTTCCTAACAATAGCAGCGTTCCTGGGCATCAAGTACACTGCCAAAGCCATGAAGGATTTGGGCACTGGAGGAAGCATCATCTTGACGTCGTCAATAGCCGGTCTGAGAGGCACCCCAGGATTGATAGTCTACTCGAGCTCAAAGTTCGCGTTACGAGGGCTTGCTCTCACGGCAGCATCAGAACTCGGGCCGCTGGGCATCCGTGTAAATGCCATTCATCCCAGCGGCATTAACACACCAATGTTCAAGGCATCTTGGAGCCCAGAAAAGATGGAGGAGTTGAGAAAAGGTATGCCGTTGGGAAGGTTCGCCGAGACTGATGATATCTCGGTTGTCGTGGCGTTCTTAGCTAGTGATGATTCCAAGTTTATGACTGGGGGCTTCTTGAAGATTGATGGAGGTTGCGTCAGCTTTTAGAAGCTTTGGTATGAAGCTGAAGATACAAGTCCTTTGACCGACAATCTAAATCTAGATTCTTTTTTTTTTCGAGAGAGTATCAGTAGTAAAACTGTAAATGGGATATTCATGATTGCATTTTATCGATCCATCTTGATTCTTAATACTACCTAAGCAGCTGAATGCACATTCTCATAGAACGCCTGTATGGAAACTCTTGCTCTCTCGGCCGCGGCTTCTGGGCCGCTTTCTTCCAACTCCATCTCTATGAGAAAGCCTTCCAAAGAGAACCAACCGTCCCACCCATAATCCACCAACCATTTCCTCATAATCTCGACCACAGGAAAGTAGCCAGGCTCTTCCACAGGGAAAGTCCTAGCGCTCCGCGACCAAGCCAAGCGGGCATCTTTGACCTCCAAGCCATCGAACAAGGGAGAATCGTCTGTCAAAGGAGGGTCAAACCGAGAGCCATCCGAAAGTTGCATGTAGCACATATGCTTCTTGGGGTTTTCTTTGAGGAATTGCGCCATTGATTCGGCGATTTCTGTCTCGCCGTTTGGAAGTTGACCGGTATGAGCGTAGGGGTCGCCCCACAGCCGACTATGGATATGGAAAGAGTCGAGACAGAGTTTGGAGCTGGGTCTGCCAACACTTTTGACGACACGGAGGCCATCTTGCCATTGGGCGTGAAAGGCAGCGAAGGCTACTGGTTCGTATGCGATGCTGACCCGACTCTGGGCTGCAAGGTCGGCCAAAGCTTGCAACTCTGGTATGATCACACCATCATCGTTTGTCGATTGCTGGAGAAACTGCGATGGTACTTGGACGAACTTTGCACCGGCTGCCACAGCAAGGTTGATCCAGTTGCTGGCAACGCGCAGTCGTTCTTCCAACGGTGTACTAAGGTTTCCTTCGAAATTCTTCAGGGGATTCAGGCTGAGAATCTCAAGACTCAGCGATGTGCAGAGATTATTGATCTTTCTTGCAGATTCCAGAGGAGAAAGACCGTTTGACGTGGCATGATGGAGGAGGTCGGTATGCACGAGCTCTATGCCTGAGAAACCGCAGCTGGCAGTGGCTTCTATCTTTCGCTCAAGTGTATGCGATGGATGCTTGCCAAGAGACATCGTGGCTATCGCCCATTTGTTGCGAAAAGGGAGTTTTGGCATCATCTTCGTGTGGATTTGATAACCTGAGGATTCGTACTAGGCAATGTGGTGCCTTCGAGCTAGCTCTTGTTGCATCCTTTTGATCTACCGGGAACGAGCCTTGCTCTAGGTAGGTCAAGAAAACCGTGCCGGCTAAAATCACACCCACTCTGCCACGTCATCCATCATGAGGATCGTCTCTGCGTCTCGGTTTGACATGTCCGATGTGTCTAGAATCCTTCTGCATGCATTGTCGAGGAGATGCTCGGGGATGTGCACCTAAGGGCAAGTGGGGCTCCTCCGAGTTCTGCCAACTGCATCATGACCATCCAGTCGCTGCAATCGTAGTGTACCGGGGAGTGTTGGTTGTGGTTGTCATAGGCTGCTCCCATCTTCCAGTAGTTCTTGCATGCTACTTTAACTGGCGGGTTTAAGCCCCAAGGAAAGCAAAAGAAATATCATAAATAAGTCATTTGGCTAACGCTGAATATAAATGAAAGGATCTAACAGTACACCAAGTCCTCGGCTTCACGAATGAAAGATGCACTCCACTTATAGAAACCTAGAAACGTCCTGAAGACTAAGACTCAGCTCTTCGGCGCACCTCTTCAAACTACTGCGCTGCGCCTGAGCATATAATTCATTTGCATCCAACACATGACATTTCAAAGCTTTCTCGTAGCCGTGTAAGTCTGGTTTTGCTGCGTCCTCCTTATCCATGGCCGAGTCGCTGGTGCTGGTACTGGATTGAAGGTTGGACTGAAAGATGCCAGCGGCCGAGAACGGAAGAAAGTCTTCATAGGTAATTGGCAGAGCCTCCAGCACCCCAGCGGAGACGAGCTGGTCAAGTAAGGAGGTTGGGTTGACGATTTCAAGGTTCGGGATGCCAGTTAGCTTTTCTCGAGCACCCTCTGCGCATTTATACTCCGAGTAAACAAGGCCCCGACGACGCAACTCGTTCCAATCATCAGGGAACTTCTCGAAAGTCTCCTTGAAAACTTGGTCTACAGCAGATGGTACGACCTTGTCCCCTCTTTGTGTCGTCGCCATGGCGTCGTCAAGAAGCTCGTCGAACAGTTTCCTGCCCGCAGGTGTGACAGCAGCCCCTCTCTCTTCAATCTCGCCGAACCTTGCTTTGTGGAATCCATCGACGAACTCATCTCGTCCTGAAATAGCGAAACGGATTCCCTCCTGCAGTGCTAGAAAGCTGGTTTGCCTCAAGAGAATGGGGCATTTCCTCGGTGGTGGACCCTCAATCCGGCTCTTCACGGCCATGCCAGCTGCAAGCATTGCCTCTTGGGCGGCGGCAATATCGAGGGCGCGAGGTGTGAGGTGGTTGATGTGTGATGACCGAAAGCAGGCAATGTCCGCCAAAATCGGGTGTTCGTCGCGAAGAAGAGCATACTCTTCATGTGTCGCTGCAGCCAAAGGCTGCCAGCTGAATGTGCGGAGAGCCTCGATGACGAACCGCTCTCCCTGCTCAGGGGTCAGGCGACCTTCTTGTGTAGACTCGGCAGTATCGAGGAGGTTAATGAGGGCGTCGCTAAAGATGTTTCGTCTCTTGAGAAGGTTCAGTGCTACGCCTCGTGCAGCACCAGATTTCAAAAGCTCCGGGCGGAGAAGTGTTGTGAAGACGCGGAACGGATTGCGCTCTAACGACTCAGGCGATGTTGGACGGAAGCATGTTGCATGCATCGGCAATCCCGCAACAGACAAGTCATAGTAGCCGACCGCGTGCATGCCGAGAAGGTTGAATATACGGCGGACGGTGTGTAGTTCTTCGGGTGTTCCAAGACGGATGGCCCCATGTCTCTCGAGTGTAAGACGGTCGATGCTAGCGTCCATCGTTGCGGAGCCTTCGAGGCCCTCAAGCTTTCTTGCCTGTGCATCTCTGTTGACTTTCTGGACGATTTGGATGAGGTCGCCGTAGAGGGGAACTTCGGCCTTGTACATAGTAGACATTGCGAGGGCAAAGGTGGTGCGGAGTGTGTCGGCGTCGACGTAGGCGGCATCCGGCCCCGGCTGTCCCGGAGGCACGGCACGGGATGCGGAGAGCAGACCGGCAGACATAATTAGATGCGGCAGGTTTCCCTCAGAGGAATTATTGGCATATGTGTAATTTTGTTGTTTATCGGGCCCGACATAAAGCAAATATTATCGTTAATACGTTAGACAAGATCCAGATAAAATGGTCGCTCCTTTTGTTTCCTTATAAGATCAAACAAAGCTTCAGAGCGCAGCCGTCCCATGTTTCTCGCAGTGCTCCCGGTCATACGATCAGTTCGGAAGGTGTCAACAAGTTTCACATGACGCCCATGGTTCCTCCCGAGACTTGAGCCGACTGAACCCACATCAACACTGGCTGCTTTGCTCACCTCAGCTGGAAGCCGGCTTCCGAATCGTGCCGTCACCGAGGTCATCGCGGACACCTACCAATCCCTTCACCGGGTGCTGCCGATAAGCCCAAAGCAGGATTACGTTGATATGGAGGTGGGGGGCTTCTCCGTCCCGGACATGGATAAGGCGTTGTGAGGGGGGCGTGCAGCCAGGAATGACGGTTAGTGGCGGCGGCGGCGGGGTCGGGGGTTTCCGAGGATGGCGACATCTATTTGCTTATCCGTGCCATCCAACACGAGGGCTCAGATTGTGCGGAGTAGACATCCTTCAGCGGCACATTGTCTGCATTTCAGAATTGAGGCTTCAACGATTTCAATAAATCGGACCTCAGGAAAACAGGCACAAGGCCAGGCTCTTTGAAGCAACTCTGACCCTGTCCTCACCGTCACATTCCACACAAAAATGTCGCCCAGCGCAACGGAACCTACTTCCGCCCCGGCCCCCGCACCGGCTCCGGCCTCGGCGCTGGACTCGGGAAAGTCGACCGGCAAGGTGAAGAGACTCCATCAGATCCCCGTGCCGGAGTCGAAAGAGGCCGCACGTCAATGGCAGCTGGAACAGATGGCCGCTGCCTTCCGCATATTTGCGAAGCTGGGCTTCTCGGACGGTAGCAGTGGGCACATCAGTCTCAGAGGTATGTGTGTCCAGGGAAACACAAACCTTCGTCGACTTACACGCTAGCGAAGACCCCGTAAGACCAGAGACGTTCTGGATCAACCCGTACGGAGTGCATTTCGGCGTCCTCAAGGTGTCGGACATGGTCCACATTGACGAGGACGGCAACCGTCTGGGCGGTGCCGATAAGCCCGTGAATACGGCCGGCTTCATGATCCACTCGGCCCTACACAAGAGGCGACCGGACATCAACGCTGCCTGCCACATGCACAGCCCCTATGGCCGGGCATGGAGTACTTTCGGCAGACCAATCGAGATGTTGAATCAAGGTCAGGATTCAAGCCATCACCTACCTCGTCGCTTGCTAATCTCATTGTCAAGACTCATGCATGTTCTACAACGATCTCTCCGTGTACCCCTCATTTGGTGGTGTTGTCCTCGCCAAGGAAGAAGGCCAGCGCATCGCCGACAACCTTGGCCCCACGAACAAGAACCTCATCCTTCAGAACCATGGCCTTCTTACTTGCGGTGGCACGATCGGCGAGGCCGCTGCATTCTTCATCGCTCTTGAGCGTGCCTGTCAATCGCAGCTTCTGATTGAGTCCGCCATTGCACCGGGAAGCAATGGTGCTGCAAGTGGTCTGAAGAAGACTTTGGTTGATGATGAGGAGGCCCAGTACACCAAGGACGGTACCGGCACACCTGAAGTCATGTATATGCAGTTCGTTCCGGAGTACCAGTTGATCTTGAAGGAGTCTGGCGGCGACTTCCTGTTGTAAATACCCCTGTTCAGATACAAACCCAAGCTTCATGACACAACCGTCCGTTTCGTTCCGTGTGGTATGGGGCTCAAGGCAGTGGCCAAGATCTGATGTTGACTCTGTGTTACTCAATACCAAGAAGATATACGAAGCGTTCGCTGAGTGCAACCTCAAGTTATCATTACTTCGTTGTCTAAGATACTTTAACAAACACTGCGGCAATAGTATGAGACTCACGACTACTCGTTGCTCTATATATATTCCTATATAATGAAGTACCTCGGTCTTTGGGAATGGACAATCAAAACCTAATTCATACCACCCAATCGGGCGGTGTCTGTCGTACCAAGCCCGAATAAAACCATCTCCCCATAGTATATACGTCGTACACTGGTATCTTCCCTCCAAGTCCAGCATGAATTGCTTTGGATGATGGTGGCATATTTGTGCACTCTAACACCACAGCCCTTATTTCTGGTCGACTCTTGACCAATTCCTTCGCAGTAGCCACCAACTCCGCCTCAATATCGGCATGGACGTAAGGGGCGCCGTTCTCCCTAATAATGTTTCGCAGATGACCACCTGGAGGAACTCCGCGAACTATTACTCTCGGCATCCAAGAATCTGGTACAAAACTAGCTAAATGCTTCGGCCCAAGCTTCGTCTCATCGTATGTTAGAACCCCAACACAGCTATCTGGCGGCAACAGAGCCAAGACTGAGGGCAGTTGTGCCAGAGACGAGGTTGCTATTGGAATGGGCAACCTTACAGCGAGACTTGGGACATATTTAGCATTGAAACCCTCCAACTCAATCGGAGTTCACAAAACTCACTCGGCTTGCGCCATGGCCAAGAAGCCACAGCTGGTGATGATCCCCACACATCCCCGCGCCGCCAACCGAAGACCCGCATCGACAAATCGGTCAATGAAGGCAGAGTCGTATTGATCAGAACTAACAACCTGCGACACTTTGGACCCTTCAGCCATCTCACGAATCAGTGGGAAGGGCCACGTCTTCTCATTGTATGGGTCGCCCGGGGGACGGTGGATGTCTAGGTCGATGGAGATGAAGCCCAGGGGAGGGAGAGCATCCAGGTCCGCAAACTCGGCCATGTCGAAATGATCTCAGCTGCGGAATGTTCAGCCCTTGGTGTTGCAGATTCTCGCAAAGTGCCTTCGTTATAGTCTTGTGGCATCCAACTCGCAGCACGGCAGCTGTCGCTTCAATTGCAGTTATGTCCCCCCGCAAA